TGGCATTGGCTCTGTCGGTCATGGGGGAAGCTTCTGGCAGCTTCTCACAGAAGCCACCCCTGTAGCCCCCCGCTACCAAAACCTGTCCATGCAAATCCAATACACTGAAATAAGTGACAAATTTTCAGCTCCCTTATATGTATCAAAGAAATTTATATTAAAAATAGCCTTCTCTGTCCATTACCATTTTCTCTTGATTTGGAGAAATTACTTATCTTTCCCTTTTAAACCATGAGAGAGGCAGAATTCAGGAAGTTTGTCCTATTTTTTTCAGGATTGCCTAGTGCGTAGAGCATTTACCCAGATAGTGGGATAACTTGGATTTTGTGATCGCTGTATCCTGAGGTGACCAACTTTCTAGATAACTATTCTGACTGCCAACGAGGGTGAGTAGGAACAAGGGGCAATGTAGCCAACCGTGCAAGAGGTAGTGACCAGAAGGACCAAGCCAGGACAGAGAACCTTCCTATGGTCTTGTCTGTAAGAAGTACTTGGCCGGGAAGGAGCAGGTGTGGAGTCTGGCTCCTGTTTCGACAGGTAGTTATGCTGCTGCTTGGTACCAGCACCTCTGTCTTCATATTTTACTCCAGTTGAATGACGTAACCATTAGGATAATGGTTTGTATTTTACAGTGGACATCTTGGGAATTATGCCCCAAGAGCATTAATGGTTTTTGGGGAAAAAAAAAAAAGATAAATCTGAACCATTTATGAATTCTGAATCATGTCAGAGATTTGAACACTTCTCCAAATGTTAATAGAGCAGTATGTAAGCAATTATTTCTTCTAACAACTATTCATGCTCCTAGGGAAATGATGCATCCTTTGGTTATACAAAACCTTTTGGAAAATATTGAATGATGAAATTAAGTATCGTCATAAATCATTGAAAATACAGTTTCAACATAAAATTTAGAGAAAATTACAGAGTTTAATACATCAATTTTATAGCTTGCTTTTTTCATACCAAAATTGCAGTCATTTTGTGGTAATTTGAATTTAAATGTCATATGTTTAAATACTAATCTGCAATCTCTTAAACCTTAATTGCTTGATTTACCAACCTGGGATCCTGACAGCAAAGCCTAAGGGTACGATTTGGACCATGTAAATGTCACCAAAGTCAGGACATACGCATGAACTCAGTTCCTCTGTTAGAGAGGGAGAGATTTTGGACTCCTGCTTAAAAGAAGGGCCTGTGATTGTAAGTAATGAGCGACATTTCCAGACTGGGAAGAGCTTTAAGATAAGGGGGAAACCACACACATATGGAGGAAGAGGCAAGTATTTGGGGGGGAAAAAAGCGAGGGGTGAAGATCAAACGTAGTAAGAGGGAAGGTGGGTGAAGCTGGTGACAGATAAAGCAGAGTACTGGAAATACCACCGGTGGTCATTGTGAACTGCTCTATCGAGGTTATGTCTGATGCACTGATGTCAGATCTCATGGCTCTGTGGACCCGCATGGGAATGTATGGACGGGGAAGGCAAGGGGTGAAGCGCAGCCTGAGGTGCAGCAGGCACTTTCGCAGCTGCTGCGAAAGACGGCAGGCTCACGCGCTCCGTGCATGCCGTGTGGTTTCCTGTGCGGCAGCAGGGACATGCACCGGGACCTTCATAAATGCCATTATGTCCACTACTCCATTAAGGGGTTTCTAGCCAGTAATTTTAGGGCCAGAAGGCCAAATAATAAAAGTAAAATAAAGACTATTTCAGAGAGTTTCTCTCTCTCTGTTATTAGTGATAGGTCACACCAATTTGTGCCTGGCTAAGACATTAATGAAGAGAAGCAGAATGTGTCCAGGTGTTTTCACAATGCAGTTTGGAGACAGACTGGCTGATGCTTAACAGTGTCCTAACAATCGTCAGAGAAGGTGATAGGGTAAGGTTGTAAACGTGGTCCCCAAGGACAGCCCAGGATGAACAGCAGCCGCACTCCCAACAGGACACACCTGAGAAAGCACAGTAGGATTCAAAGGCAACTTCATGTCCTTGAGTAAGGGATCCTGCATTATTTCTGGGGCATTTTGAGCAACTTTCACTGTGCATAAAGAGATGCTGCAAGCAATGTACACATAAGGTATAAAAAATTTATTCGTTAAGACAAACAAGAGATGGTTAGGATTTAATAAAGCTCTCAGACTAAGCATTAGTATCCTCATTACCTCAAGGCATCTTTGCTAGCCAGGCAGGCGTCAGCCAGGAGAGGAAGGGCTCCCCAGCATAGCTCTTTGATGGTGCCGAGTTGTCATCTTCTGAGGGTTGGGTTTTTTTCTTTTTTTACTTTGGGATTTCTTAATCTTTCCATGTTGGTAGACTTTTTTCCCCTTAAATCCTCAAAGTGCTACTGACATTTATCTCAATGATCCCACCTCTGTCTATAGAGACCTTATCTCACTTGGCTCTTCTCTACAAACTTTCTGAGCTTTTTCTCACAACTTCACAATTTTCCTATCAGCATGAGCCAAGGCTAGGCAGCCGGGCTGTGCTGGACCCTGGATTAGAGACGTGGTGGGGACACTACACGTTTACCTGCAGAATTGATTGGACCCATCCAATAATGGTCCAGGAGGTCTTGCATAGCAGCGGTACTAGTCAGACCAACCTGCAGTGAGTGAAGCAGTTCTCCAGCACCCACCTGAGGAGTTAAGAGCTGTGTGACTTTGTCTTTGTCTTTGTCTTTGTCTTTCTTTGTCTTTTTTCTTTTTCTTTTTCTTTTTTCTTTTTCTTTTTCTTTTTCTTTTTCTTTTTCTTTTTCTTTTTCTTTTC